TAGTAGGCATTCCTGGGCTGGGGAAAGGCACTCTTATCAACGCCATGGTCAACTATGCCCTGGGGGTGCAGTGGGAAGACACCTTCAGATTCAAGCTGACCCAGGAAGCAGCAGAGGAACCCAGATCGGAGAGCCCAGCCCTGGTGTCTGATGTCTATGAGATCCATTACAATGAGACCTTCAAAATCCCCTTCTCCCTCATGCTTGTAGACATCCCAGAGATTGAGGATGAGAACAGGTTCCAGATGGCAAAACATATCCAAGCCGTGCTGGCTGCCTTGGGCCTCACTGGGGGCAATAGTGCTCTCATCTATTTAGTCGGAGCCTCCCAACCTGAGGCTACGGTGGCTCAGTCTTATGTGTTGGCTCGCATTTCTCATTCTTTCCCTGAGGAATACAAGCTCCTGCTTCTAGTGGGTGCAGATGGCCAAACGACTCCTTTCGTAGAAGACTTCATCAAGGCCAACTTCCCCTTGACTTACTTCAAGTGCAATACTTCAGCTCTGCTGGCCAAGAATGCCAATAACGAGAAGAACGTGCACATTTTTAATGAGAAGTCCTGGGGGGTATACACTCACAGCATGGAAACTTTGTTCTCAGATTTCCAGTTCTTTAAGACCTAAACACACGCCCTTGGCAGAGCACCTTCTTGGAGAGAAAGCCAAGTGCAGTGGGTGCAGCTGCAGCCCCAATCAGAGCCCAATGGATGACGCTTCTGCTAGCCAATGCCCTACGTGCACATTCTTCAAGTCAACTTCCCTGCTCTTAGCCAAAGCTTTACTGCCTTGATTATTCATTTGAAGCATTCTTCATTTATATTCTTACATTTTATATTCATACGCTTCTGAAAACCTCCCCCCTCTCGCACAAAGTTGTATGTTTGCAGTCCGTGATCCCAGAGTGCTCCGCACCTGTGCATTTCTTAGAAGTTTCAACTGTTATAGCCTCTCTACTAATTGCAGGACACATCCCAGAGTACAAGCGTTTCATGGCCTTGTTACTGGAGCAGGCACAAGACAAGCTGAAGAGGATGCTGTAAGTGTGCTGGTGTTTTTTTGCATCCAGGAAGAGCACACACCAACTGCTGAAACTTCCTTAGCCTGATGAAGGGTTTTTGAACCCAAAAGCTTGCTTAATAACTATTCTCCAACTATTTGGGTTGGTCTAATAAAAGATATCAAATTCAGCCAAGGAACCTTGTCTGCCTGGTGTTTTCCCTGCTTTTGGCCTGCCTACCAGGTAAGAGAATGGAAACATGCAAGTCTGAGGTACTAAAAAAAATGGCTTGCTCCACCCCAGAACCACACTCTTTTTGTCTAGTCCATTAATCAAAACTTTTATCAATAAACTCATTGACCATGGTTAGTTTGGCATGCCTCACCCTTACTTAATTGTGAATTCTGATCAGAGATGGCAAAGGAGAATCGGTATCATTCTCACTTGTGCTTTTACTTACAGTGTTTCAGAAGACATTGTAGGAAATCCTAGAGAGGAGTGAGATAGTATTAGGCTGCTCCTGTGAGAATTTGGCCTGGCCCTAACCTGCAGGGCTTACAGCCCTCTCAAATCTCATAGTTTCATAGCTGGTCGGGTCGGAAGGGAACTGAGCAATCATCAAGTCCGACCCCCTGCCATGGCAGGAAAAAGTACTGGATCAAACGACCCCAGCGAGGTGTTCGTCTAACCTCCTCTTAAAGACCCCCAGGGTAGGAGCCAGCACCACTTCTCTTGGAAGTTGGTTCTAGGTCCTAGCTGCCCTGACAGTGAAGTAGCACCTCCTGATTTCATAGATTTCATAGACATCAGGGCTGGAAGGGACCTCGGAAGATCATCGAGTCCAGCCCCCCACCCAAAGGGCAGGAAGTCAGCTCAGGTCATAGGATCCCAGCAAGATAAGCATCCAGTTTCATCTTGATGGTGTTCAATGAAGGCGCATGAACCACCTCCGGTGGCAGGCTGTTCCAGACCTTGGGGGCTCGGACAGTAAAGAAATTCTTCCTTATGTCCAGCCTGAAACGATCTTGAAGTAGTTTGTGACCATTCGA